GCCTGCCTACGGCTAATTCAACATCTCTGAAAACGCAACTTTCACAGATAACGTTAATCATTTGCAAGCTGCTCAAATAAAGCACACAAAACATCAGCTAAAATGATCTATAGGCTATATGATTATAATCAGAGCATGTGCATGTTTGTGAGTGATTTATGTATATTAGGTTATTACAGCATTTAAAGAGCACAGACCTACGCAAAGGAGGTGTATTTGTGAAACGCCTTGTAAGAAATGGTGGACTCAAATATAAAGTTAACCATCAAAGAAATCAGACGTTGAAGTACAGGAAACATTAGCCTATATTAATCCATATATCACAGCTTAAATAACATTAGGTTAACTCATTAGTTCCTATTATTAATTATGGTAATGTTATGGTTAAGTAAATGTTAGCAGTTATCACTATAACCACTGCATATAGAGATGCTAAGTTAGTCACAAGTTATTGTTACTATCACACATAATATTTAGGTCCTCTGTTATGACAAATTTATCACCATCATATTTCAAATATTTCAATTTTCTTCTGCTACAGAAAAGTATCGAAATCGCAATTCTTGACTTGGTATCGGTATCGAAACAATAATTTTGGTATCAGCAGCTGTTAGTTATTGATGATAATGAATGTGTGAGGCTCTCTGCTCCTTTTCCTGCAGTAAATGTAAGAAGGAGTATTGATCAGGATACGCCTCTGCACACTGCTCTAGCTAATTAGCCAGTTAGCTAGCTGCTTGCTCAAATCAACACTGTTTGTCAGAATACACAAGTTAGTGTCATAGATCACGTTTTTTGCTAGCAATAACATTAGCGAGCAAGCTTACTGTAACCCAGCCACACTAAATCAACAACCAAGCTAACGTTATCCAGCTAAAAGCACAATCAGACAATATGTTCCACAAGCTTAGCAGTAATGTTAGCTTTGACTTTGGACTCTGTGTTGGACTCTGTGTTGTGGACTCTGTGTTGGACTCTGTGTTGGACTCTGTGTTGTGGACTCTGTGTTGGACTCTGTGTTGTGGACTCTGTGTTGTGGACTCTGTGTTGGACTCTGTGTTGGACTCTGTGTTGTGGACTCTGTGTTGTGGACTCTGTGTTGTGGACTCTGTGTTGGACTCTGTGTTGTGGACTCTGTGTTGTGGACTCTGTGTTGTGGACTCTGTGTTGGACTCTGTGTTGTGGACTCTGTGTTGTGGACTCTGTGTTGTGGACTCTGTGTTGGACTCTGTGTTGGACTCTGTTGTGGACTCTGTGTTGTGGACTCTGTGTTGTGGACTCTGTGTTGGACTCTGTGTGGACTCTGTGTTGTGGACTCTGTGTTGCCCACTGTTGGCACTCGGGAGCATAAAGGTCACAACCTTTGACCCTCATCCTACATAGAGACACATAGAGATCAGTCCACAGGCAGCAGAGGGACAAAGCTACACTACAACCTGTTCACTCTCTGCTGATCAATAATCTGATCAATAATCTGATTATTATAGAGACACAAAAGGATTCAGAACCTTCTTGAAGCTTTAATGACAAAAATCCGCAGTCTCCAGCTTCTGTGAGAATTTTGTTGGATGTTCAGATCTTAGATCAGGTGTTCTCAGGTGGAATCCATTAGTCTCACCTGCACATTATCTCCTGCTGCAATAAAAAGCTTCCCTGCAGTTTCACCTGAAGCTTGAATTCAATTTAAAAAGTTATTTTGTGTAAACACGAACACAACGTCTACGAGCAGAGTCTGTTTTAGATATCACTGACGACATTAATGTGACCTTGTGTTTATTATTACAGTGCAGTCGTCTTTGCAAAGGCTCATGGGAAGGAGGTAATAAATCCAGGTGTATTTTTAGACGCTTACCTCACTGCTGAGCTTTCTAATGTTATCGTCTTCATCACGTTCTCCAGATGTGAGAATCATCTGCTTTAATGAGAAATGTGACACCAACCCTAATTAACAGGATTCTTATATAACAAGATTTAAATGAGGATCTAAATCAGTCTGCACACAGGCGTTCTGTATCTTTATTGATCCTATTGATCAGAATACACTGTATCTTTATTGATCCTATTGATCAGAATACACTGTATCTTTATTGATCCTATTGATCAGAATACACTGTATCTTTATTGATCCTACTGATCAGTATACACTGTATCTTTATGGATGATATTGATCAGAATACACTGTATCTTTATTGATCCTATTGATGTTGAAGTTATCTCAGGACACTTTTCAAATAGAGCAGGTCTAGACCGAACTCCTTATAACATTATTTACAGAGACCCAACAGTACCACCATGAGCAAGACCTTGGAGACAAGGGCAAGGAAACACTGCCTGTTAAAAGGCAGAAACCTAGGACAGATCCTCCGGCTCTAGGTGGGTGGTCGTCTGTCTCGACCAGTTGGGGTGAGAGACAGACAGACAGACAGACAGACAGACAGACAGGTGTACAGCAACAACAGTATTGGCAATGGCAATCTAGCAGGACCATGGCAGGAGGCTCCACCAGGATCGATAAGAACCTGCGAGACGAGAAAGCACAAGAACTCCGGGGAAGAAGTGAAGTTAGTAACATGTATTAATGAGACATGAATGAGTGCAGAAAGAGAGAGGAAGAGATTTATGATATTGATCAGTATACACTGTATCTTTATGGATGATATTGATCAGTATACACTGTATCTTAATGGATGATATTGATCAGAATACACTGTATCTTTATGGATGATATTGATCAGTATACACTGTATCTTAATGGATGATATTGATCAGAATACACGATTGATGTGAAAAACGACTTTAGGATGATATTGATCAGTATACACTGTATCTTTATGGATGATATTGATCAGTATACACTGTATCTTTATGGATGATATTGATCCTGTATTGACAGTCAGACTGTGGACATATGACGGCCTTTAGCTCGTGTTTCTAGAGTTACGTGTTGTTACGAACACGTTAGGAATTGTTAAAATGTGATATTTCTTAAAGGGAGTTTGGTGCAGGGAGCTTTTAGTTGGATTCAAACTGCTGATATGGATCATTGTTAACGTTTAGTCTCCACTACAGAAACACTAGCTAACTGCTGAAGGCTTATCAGGTTGTCTGACAGTATTAGTTTGATTGATGCTTTAATAATGGGATTATTGATTTCTAATTACTGATCAGGCTGATCAGGATCATTATCAGCTGATTGTACTCTGTACTCCTTGTCTCTGTTTATCTGCTGAAAGTACAGAACACAATGAAAAGCTAATATTTTCTATATAACAGATCAATAAACTCAGCTTTATATTGAAAGAGACACTTTGTTGATTGTGATTAAAAGATAAAAGAGACAGTTATATTCACATTAAGTTAACTAATGTAAGCAAAATGTAAGCTAATTAGCTAAATAACATAAATCATTAGCTGGCTAGTGCTTTGCAGTATTAGCAACATGCTAACTATGTATGTATTATTTTTATTTATTTTTTGGTCTTTTATGCCTTTATTGACAGAGACAGCTGGAGATAGAAAGGGGGCAGAGAGAGAGGGGATGACATGCAGCAAAGGGCCGCAGGTCGTACTCAAACCCGGGCCGCTGCGTATATGGGTTGCCAGCTCTACCGACTGAGCTAACCAGGCGCCCTTAACTATGTCATTTACATCGATTGTTTGCCAGTTACTAGCTATCTAACCTAGCTGGCTAACAATTGATGTAATTAAATGAGCTAGTTAGTATTAGCTGTGTCAGTGATTGCACTTTGGTTTGGAAGAAGAACTAAACTAGAGACTGAGACATAAACTCATCAGGAATAAATTCACTTCATACTGTCAGAGTGGAGCTGCCCCTGCTGGCTGTTGGAGGGAATGCAGGTTGAACACTGATGGTAAACTGTGTTTAGTGCTGCAGGTGAAGCGGTTCCTCGGGTGCTGCTGGATCTCAGTGTCAGGTATTCAGGTTCAGGTCTGTGTCAGTCTCCTTCCTGCAGAGCAACAAGCTGCTTCCACAGGTTCACCTGAGCCAACGCTGGTTTATTCATCAGGTGACTCTCAGCAGCGGCAGCAGCGGCATGCGGCATCATGTTGCTTGTCATCGCCTTGAACTGATGCAGACTCGACCACAACGGCATGAATAACACAGGAGCCCGATGAATAATACAGCAAGCAGCTGTGTGTGTGTATATATATCCAGGGCGGTAGTGAGGGCTTTATAAATACTGAGGTCATGAGTCCAAAGCTCCACAACGGACGTTCCTCCACCCTGAAACATCAATGCTGCTGTTTATATTCACACATTATTACCAAACTCATGAGTAAGTCACAGTACAGACATGTTATATGTAATTTTAACTCTTTAAGATCTCATCCTCAGTTATATTGTTTCCTCTATTTAACGATGTCTGACAGAACATTAATAACTAATAATAATAATAATAATAATTAATAACACTCAGTTTCTGTGTATTATATTAATTAAATTCAATTCAGTTTTATTTGTATAGCGCCAATTCATAACAAAAGTTACCTCAGGACACTTTTCAAATAGAGCAGGTCTAGACCGAACTCCTTATAACATTATTTACAGAGACCCAACAGTACCACCATGAGCAAGCACTTGGCGACAAGGGTAAGGAAAAACTGCCTGTTAAAAGGCAGAAACCTAGGACAGATCCTTCGGCTCTAGGTGGGTGGTCGTCTGTCTCGACCAGTTGGGGTGAGAGAGAGAGAGAGAGAGAGAGAGACACTGACAGACAGACAGGTGCACAGCAACAACAGTATTTGCAATGGCAGTCTAGCAGGACCATGGCAGGAGGCTCCACCAGGATACATGAGAACCTGCGAGACGAGAAAGCACAAGAACTCCGGGGAAGAAGTGATGTTAGTAACATGCATTAATGGGACATGAATGAGTGCAGAAAGAGGGAGAGAGGAAGAGAGGAGCTCAGTGCACCATGGGAAATCCCCCGATAGTCTAGGCCTATAGCAGCATAACTAAGGGATGGTTCAGGACTCACCTGATCCAGCCCTAACTATAAGCTTTATCAAAGAGGAATGTCTTAAGCCTACTCTTGAATGTGGTGAGGGTGTCTGCCTCCCGAACCACAACTGGAAGCTGGTTCCACAGGAGAGGAGCTTGGTAACTGAAGGCTCTGGCTCCTGTTCTACTTTTAGAGACTATAGGAACCACAAGTAGCCCAGCATTCAGAGAACGTAGTGTTCTAGTGGGGTAATAGGGTACTATGAGCTCTTTAAGATATGAAGGGGCCTGACCATGAAGAGCTTTATAGGTGAGGAGGAGGATTTTAAATTCAATTCTACATTTTATAGGGAGCCAATGCAGAGTAGCTAGTACAGGAGAGATGTGATCTCTTTTTCTAGTTCCTGTCAGTACTCGTGCTGCAGCGTTCTGAATTAATTGGAGCGTTTTAATGGACTTATTGGGGCAACCTGATAATAAAGAGTTGCAGTAATCCAGCCTTGAAGTAACAAATGCATGGATTAGTTTTTCTGCATCTGTCTGTGATAGTATGTGTTTAATTTTTCTAATATTACGTAAATGAAAGAAGGCAGTCCTAGAGGTCTGCTTTATGTGGGAGTTAAATGACAAATCCTGATCAAAGATAACTCCAAGATTCCTGACAGTGGTGCTAGAGGCCAAGTTAATGCCATCTAGAGTGACTATATCTTTAGACAATGAGTCTCTAAGGTTTTTGGGGCCAAGAACAAGAATTTCGTTTTTTTCTGAGTTTAACATCAGAAAATTGCAGGTCATCCAGGATTTTATGTCCTTAAGACATGTTTGTAATTTAGATAATTGATTAATTTCATTGGGTTTGATTGATAGATATAACTGCGTATCATCTGCATAACAGTGAAAGTTAATGGAGTGATTCCTAATAATGTTGCCTAAAGGGAGCATATATAAAGTAAATAGTATTGGTCCAAGTACAGAACCTTGTGGAACTCCATGACTAACTTTAGTATTTATGGAGGATTCATCGTTAACATGTACAAACTGAGAACGATCTGATAAGTATGACTTAAACCAGGTTAGGGCAGTTCCTTTAATTCCAATTTGATGCTCAAGTCTCTGTAAAAGAATATCATGGTCAATGGTGTCAAATGCGGCACTAAGATCTAATAATACAAGTATAGAGACAAGTCCATTGTCAGAAGCAGTCAGAAGGTCATTATTAACTTTAACCAGAGCTGTCTCTGTGCTATGATGAACTCTAAATCCTGACTGAAAATCCTCAAATAAACTATTGTTATGTAGAAAGTCACACAACTCTTTGGCGACTACTTTCTCCAGAATCTTAGAGAGGAACGGGAGGTTAGAAATCGGTCTATAGTTGGCTAAAACCCCTGGGTCAAGAGTGGACTTTTATAGAAGGGGTTTAATTACAGCTACTTTAAAGGACTGTGGTACATATCCTGATAATAAAGAAAGATTAATCATATCCAGTAAAGAAGTGCCAATTAAGGGAACAACTTCTTTAAGCAGCCTAGTTGGGATCGGGTCTAATAGACAGGTTGATGGCTTCGATGAAGAAATGATTGAAGTTAACTGATGAAGATCGATAGCAGAAAAACAGTCTAAATATATATCTAAGTTTACATTGGCAGAAGTCCCTGAACTTGGAGAGCCACTGATAACTGTTGATGGCAGTTGGTGATTAATTTTTTCTCTAATAGTAATAATTTTATTATAGAAGAAGCTCATGAAGTCATTGCTACTTAAGTTTATGGGGATATGTGGCTCGATAGAGCTGTGACTCTCTGTCAGCCTGGCTACAGTGCTGAAGAGGAACCTGGGGTTGTTCTTATTTTCTTCTATTAGTGCTGAGTAATAGGCTCCTCTGGCATTACGGAGGGCCTTTCTATAAATCTTAAGATCATCTTGCCAAATTGAGCGATATTCTGATAATTTGGAAGAGCGCCATTTCCTTTCAGATTTTCTAGCTATTTGCTTTAACTGGCGGGTTTGGTGGTTATACCAAGGTGCTAGTCTCCTATGTTTTAATAATTTCCTTTTTATAGGAGCGATAGAGTCTAATGTTGATCGTAGTGAGCCTGTAGCACTATCGACAAGATTATCAATTTCAGAGGGACTAAAGTCATTATAGGACTCTGTTAAATTCAGACATGGCATTGAATTAAACACTGAAGGAATCTCCTCCTTACTGGTGCTACTGGTCATACTGGTGCTACTGGTGAGAGGCTGATATTGTCTGAGGGGAACAGCCTGTAACTTCTGAACCAATCAAATGTCAAATATCAAACTGACCCTGAAGCTGTTGGTGGTCCAGTGACCTTATCACGAGTCCGTCTGATGTAGAGGACAAAAGTTCATCATAATTAAACCTCTTTGAAGCAGCCAATAACCTTTATTCCACGTCCACACTCTGTAAACTGTAAACGGTCAAATCCTCCTGAGCTGCTCCAAATAGAAACCAAATTAAATCTCCTTCACAGGGTGAGACTGATGATGTGCTGAGACGTGTTAGCAGTGGGGGTGAGGAGGGGAAGAAGGGAGGAGGGGAGGAGGTGAGATGAAACTGTTAATGAATTCAGTGGAGACGCTCCAGCTGATGTGTGGACAGGAAGTGAGTCAGGATCACACACATCCCCCAGTAAAAGAGCGCCGGCTTTAAAGCCAGTTAACACTTCATAAGCCCTGCCCCTTTCTGCTATGTGCTCCAATCACAGTTGAGCAAGCCTCGGTCAACTTCCTCCTTGTCTGTACTTAGATATGCTATGCTAAGCTAATCTATGTTGGAAACACAAACACATTTAGAAGATGGTTAAAAGATAAAAGATAACCCTGATATAGTCACATATGCAAAACACGAGCTAACTAGCTACATACGGTAGCTTTCAGATGTAACTAGCTAACTATGTAACTGTTGATGTAAAATGAGCTAGTTAGCTATAAATGCATCAGTGGTTGCTCTTTGTCTGCTGAGAGTCCTGAACATAATGAAGAATTCATATTTGATATAGAGCTGAGCAGCTTTATTGATCGTGATTGAAGGCCTTAAGATCAGGATAGATCACCTGCTGTGTGTTGGAGTGCAGATAGAGAACTGGAGATGTGTTCAGTGTGTTCCTCAGCAGACATTATCCAGTGTTAAATGAATAATAGAGAAAACAACTGGCGGAGCGTTGTGGTGGATCTGTTTTGGCAGAGGAAGCTGCGGCTCTTTATATTTTATTGATGTTCAGGTGATGAATATTTGAAGGTGAGCTGGTTGAGAAGCCTCCTGTCACACTTTCTCTCTCTCTGTGCAGAACTAATGAGTTCAGACACATTGAACCAGGCAAGAAGTACATTACTGCAGTACTGCACTGAAGTACACATTCAACTGAGTATTTCCATTTTATCCCACTTTATATTTCACTACATCAATACTGACCACTAACACCAAAATGCAATCGCAAAACTCACCAAAACCATCTCTGTTAGTCTTTCCAACAGACACCAACTCTGGTTTGGTAGAAATGAATCCTTAATTCACCGACTTAGATGATAAAATGACCACCAAACGGGCTGCTCTGGCTGCCACATACAGCTAACTGATGGTAACTCAGGTTGTTATTGTCAGTGTCTGACATTATGTCATTATGGAAAGGATCCCTACAGAGATAGACCTTTAGTTTAAACACAAACAGCCGTAAAATATCACTATCACTCTCCACCAGACTCCTGAGACAGAAACACTAATTTTACCTTCAGGTCATCGTAACTTCAATCAGAGTGGACAGAAACAGAATAAAACTCACCAGAACCTCTGTTAGTCTTTACATCCTTAACTCACTGACGGAGAAGATACAAACAGCAGTATCAGTGGCTCAGATGCACATGGAGCAGATGGACGGACACAATATCCAGTTAACATTGAATACAAGGTCAGACACAAAACAATTATGATGCATAAACAGACATCATTTCCTAAACTGAATTCAGTGACAAGTTAGAAACAACCACATTGAAGAGTTCTCAGTTCTCAAGCATTTAGTAGAGATGTAGGTTTTTATGTTGAAAAGATATCGGCTGTACACGTCTGATCGCTGAGGTGATCCTGCTCCTTTTATTGGCTGTTTTTCTCTGGTTGACTATGGCTGCAGATAATCAGCATTATAATGAATCTGTACTACACAGTCTGTACTACGCAGTCTGTACTACACAGTCTGTACAATACAGTCTGTACTATATAGTCTGTACTATATAGTCTGTACAATACAGTCTGTACTATATAGTCTGTACTATATAGTCTGTACTACACAGTCTGTACTATATAGTCTGTACTATATAGTCTGTACAATACAGTCTGTACTATATAGTCTGTACTACACAGTTACACAGTCTGACTACGCAGCGTACACACAGTCTGACAAACAGCGTACTATATAGTCTGTACTATATAGTCTGTACAATACAGTCTGTACTATATAGTCTGTACTATATAGTCTGTACAATACAGTCTGTACTATATAGTCTGTACAAGCAGTCTGTACTACACAGTCTGTACAATGCAGTCTGTACTATATAGTCTGTACTATATAGTCTGTACTACACAGTCTGTACTATATAGTCTGTACTACACAGTCTGTACTATATAGTCTGTACAATACAGTCTGTACTATATAGTCTGTACTATATAGTCTGTACAATACAGTCTGTACTATATAGTCTGTACTATATAGTCTGTACTACGCAGTCTGTACTACACAGTCTGTACAATACAGTCTGTACTATATAGTCTGTACTATATAGTCTGTACAATACAGTCTGTACTATATAGTCTGTACTATATAGTCTGTACAATGCAGTCTGTACTATATAGTCTGTACTATATAGTCTGTACTACACAGTCTGTACTATATAGTCTGTACAATGCAGTCTGTACTATATAGTCTGTACTATATAGTCTGTACTACACAGTCTGTACTATATAGTCTGTACAATGCAGTCTGTACTATATAGTCTGTACTAGGGCTGGGCGATATATCGATATAAAAAATATATCGATATATTTTAAAATGTGATATGGAATTAGACCATATCGTATATATCGATATAGTTCAGATTTGCGCTGTGATCGTTGGTCCAAGCAAACTGCTGACCCGGAGCTCTCTGCACTGCTTCCCACGCCCACGCCACCGCCACCGCCCCTCCTCTTTCAATAACCTAACATAATGTTTGTGTTCATATCCATAATTTAGACTGTAACGTTGTCAGACTGTTAGGTTAGCTAACTGCTGAGTAATTAACTGATGTTACAGGTAACTTAACGTGCTAACGTTACGTTAGCTAACGTTAGCTAGCTTTAGCTTGTTAAGCTTGCATGATTCATGTTAGCAAAACACAACGTTAATATTGAGTGGTTTTACTCGGGATGGGTTGCTTGTTCTGTTTACAGGCAGCAAATCTTTATCATACCATTAACGTTATGTTACTAATGTTACAGACACTTAACTAATGTACAGCTCAGTAATAGCGTTAACTTAGGTTAAGTTGTTATAACGTAATTGTATTTGCTTGTGTAATAACGGTAGCAGTTTTGGTGAGTGGTAACAGCCTTACTGCCTTCTGAAAATATTAATTTAAAAGTTATAATGCAGCCTAACTTCTGGTCACAACGTGTGTGTAGGTGTGTCTGTGTATGTATGTGTGTGTGAGAGAGAGAGAGATAGAGACACACACACACACACACACACTGTATATAACTAATATAATGTTCATAATGTATATATCTTTCATATTGTGTATTGTCTGAATATTTCGACTTATTGTATTTTGATGCTTTGCTTTGGCAGTATTGTTTTTTAAAAAACCTTTCATGCCAATAAAGCCAATTTGAATTGAGAGAGAGAGGGAGAGAGAGACAGAGAGAGAGAGAGAGAGAGACACTGAACATTTGCTCTCACTTTGCGGAAAAAATATCGGGATA